AAATTTGGGTATGCAGTTTTATAGATCGTTAAAATTTTAGTGTACCAAAGTGCAAGTTGCAAGTGACTACGTTTTCGAGCACATCTTCATGTTGTGTAATTTATAAGGTTTGAGTGAATTATGAACAGTAAATGCCAGTTTAAACCACTGTGCCGTAATACGCGTAATACGTAATTAGGACTCTTATGTATTTCCTAAAAGTTAAAAGTTATTTTCATTAAATATATAATTAAATATTTACATAAAATATCGAGCGATAATCGCTACGAACTTCTTCTTTTCCGCTGTGAATTTTTCGTCCCACGCTGAGTAGCTTATATTGCTGTATAAGGCAATTACGTGCTCCATTATTTTGCCCATTCAGATTTCAGCGCCTACTGCTGAGCATACAGGTTGTATCCACGGATTTTTGTATCTTTCTGTAAATACCAGAGGTATATTTTTTATTGTTTGCGGAAATATTTTCATTCTCAGCAGCTGCTGTACCAGAGCTGCTAAAATTTTTCCTATGTAAGTATATAAGTACATATGTGTCTACATGCATATGTATACTAGACATGTGAACTTATGTCCATACATATTTCAAAACTTTCAGGAATATATTTTCTGAGACAAATATGCACATAAGAACATACGTTGCACAAATATGTATACATGTACAAAAATACTTATATCCTATACTTGCACTTTATCTTGGCACAATTTTTCCGGCACGGCTTATTGGAAACGACAAGTGATCGGCGGCAATTTGTCATGCTGCTTGCCCAGAATTAATACTCATAAAAAATATTTATGATGATGCCACGCCAGTTATGCCAAGTCTGCCGCAAATTCACCATCGGCACCGGCAGCGGGTGAGCGTGGAGTAGAGGTAAGGTGATGGAGGCTACAAAGTGCTTTGCAACAGGCGCAACAAAATGACAACTTTGCACTCGCGCGTCACTGAATTATGGGCATAAGAAATATTTCGTTTGCTTCTCGAAATCAAATGAATGCATATCTACGTTGCGTGCGCCCGTATTTGTTCATTTGTAACGATGTACTTGCAACCAGTGTGGCCACAAGTGAAGTTTAATCTTCTAAATGAAAACTTTTTGGGCTGCTTTTTATTATAAAAAAGATTTTTTAAAAAGCAAAATTTGACACTGAAAAAACATATCTTCAAAATGAAGATTTTGTATATGATGCAAGATTTTTTAAGTTTAAGTTAAAATTGTTAAAAGCTGGGTTAAGCAAGACTTAGACTTAACTTGACTTACCTAGAAACTTAGACGTGATTACTCAGCGTGTAACCTATTACCTTTTCTCTTTGTTTTCATTCTCAGCACTTTGTTTGAAATTTGTTTTTCGATTGCCAGATGAATTACATTTATACAAAAAATTATATTTGTGTGACATATTTGTAGGAATATTATTAAAAAATGAAATGACAGCATGATTCTCTTGCGGCTCTCTTTGCACTTAGAAATGTAACCTCAAAATTAAAAATCTATAGTTCTCCAAGTTTTTAAGTGAGAGGAGCTTTAAGCTTTATAAAACAATATCCACAGAAAATCGAATTGAAAAGCTTAAAATTGTTATGAATCTTTGTCGAATTTTCTTAGCTTTTGTACAAGTAATTTTTAAGTAAAAAACAACCGACTTCACTTCTCATATTCAAATTTAGAGGTTAAATCCGGTACCCAAATTAGTAAGTGACCACTGTTGAGGCACCACCTTGCCGATAAAAAAAAAATTATGGGTTCACGTGGTCTAAAGTTATGCGGTAACATATATATGTATGTACATAAAAAAATATTCCGACGAATTGATAACCTCCTCATTTTTTCCAAGTAGGTTAAAAAAACACAAAACTTGCTAAAATATCGCGTCCCTACAATCACGCATTTTTTCAATGTAAGTATTTTATACGTAGGTTAATTATTTGTAAACTCATATGTGATTTAGAAAGCAAACTGTGCTAAACATTGTGTGATGCCACGAAGACAATATTGATATTTAGTTTAAGTTGAAATAAAAAGGACTTTATAACTTGAAATTGTTAATTTTTGTCACTCAACATAACAAAGCCTATTTACAGCCGTAAAGCCAACATCAAGTTGTGTGTGTGTGTGTTTTTTTGGTTACTTTCAAATTAAAATTTTTTTGGGGTCGAAAAGATTTTTTTATCTTTAAAATCTAACATTGAAATATTTTTTGGAAAAAATTAAGAGTTTTAGGGCACTTTCTCTGGCAACACAGCTTGCAACTACAAATCTGTTAGCATTTATACATTCATAATAATTTACCTTTAAATAGCAATATATGCATGACACTACATATGTATGATAATTCATTATATACATATGTATGTATGTATATTTTTGTGTTTGTGTATTCTGGTATGCGCAACTAATAAACCAGAAAGCTTGTAAATTATTGCTGCAAGGTACATTGGTGAAAGAATGCAGCAATGCTTCGAATAGTGCGCTGCGCTAAAAATTGGCAACATGTTGCAGCAACATTAAAAAATGTATCAAAAGTATATTTAATCTACATTTAGTTTATATAGTTTCGATTGAGTAAAATGTAATTTAAGTAATAATATCAGTAATCGGGTATTTCGGATTTTTTTAGTGATTGTTTTGTCATTACCTTGTAATCCTAAAGCTCTTAGTTATACTTCAACGCACTTCCACGTTACCTTACTAGTTGTGCTCGGGAGAATGGAGCTTTGATAGTATTATTGCATAAAACTTAGCTGCGGGTAGCTACAGATCAGCTTTTTATGAACAATAATTAAGATAGATCTAAAAAAAATGTTTTTCTTTTACATACATATTTTGCGATTTATAGGTATTTTCTTTGTTTTAGAGCAGCGATGGGCAGAGAGAGCTTTTACTATGCACGTGCCTATACAAAATGTAGAGGAAGCTTAAAAGAGCTTTGCCCGTGGGGAAGGCAGTGCCCATCAGTGTTTTAGAGTCAACAACTGGTTACTACTATAGATTAGTGATTCTCAAATATTTATTTGGTAAGACCCATCGGCAAAATTCTACAAACTGAAATTTATTGAAAATGATCTCTTATCATCAGACACCGTCTTCAATTTCCCCAATTAAAAGCGCAGTTCATACATACAAAGGTGAATAAAAGCACATAGAAAAGAAGAAGCTTTTTTGAAAAGCAAAGTAAAATGGCTAAAAGGACATTTTGAATTCCAAAAATTATGCAACAGCAGCGCACAGAGAGGTATTTGCCTAATTTAAGCGGCCAGAAATCGAATTTTCCAAACGCACTTTTTTCTTTTATAACTGAACATAGGGTGCAGAAAATAGAATTCTTGACCAGATGCCGTTATTTTTTTAAATTCCTCTGCGCTGTTAAAGTACTGTGAATTTTAAACTTAGGGGAGTTACAGGGGGAGAAAATAGTTGTTAGGTACTTAAAAAAATGACGATTCTCTTCTAAGCGGTAAGTTTTAGTAAAAATTTGGCTCTAAAGATTTTGATAAAATTTTGTATGCAGAAAATGTTTTTAATTTTAAGGTTACCTGAGCAGGTGCTACCTTTGGAGATATTCGTACAAAGTTCAACATATTCGAAATTATTTATAAGTTAAATAAAACATCATTTTGGATATTAACTGAAAAGTATTTTAAAAATCCACAACTCAGAGATTTTTTTAACAGGGTTGCCATCTATTTTCTCTCTTATATTCATTTAATTTATTGTTAAAAAATTAAGATGTGTACAATATTACTATTAATGGGTAAGCTCTTAAGCAATGCTTTGCATATAGCAAGTGTAAGTAAGGATATTAGTTTGCGGGTGCCACTTATTTTCAATTTTAAGAAATTTAACTAAAATAACTAGTATGGATATGAAATTAATGTATTTTTGTGAATTTTAATACAGACATATTTTTATGTGGGTTGCCACATTTTGTTTTTGTTATACAAATTTTTGCCTTATTCCCTAAATAAAAGTTGAATTTGATGTTTAATCAGGTGGTAATGCTCCCACATGTTGTTTAGAAATGAAGCATTTTCAAAACTATTTCATTTAACATAATTGTATTTAATTTTTTTACAGGTGGCAACTCTTTTCATGTTCCAACCTAGATAAAAACCTTCACCGCGCCTATCGATGCCAATATTTAAGCCACTTTATTTGCGTTGTTTTGGTTGAATAATTGTCAAAAATTTTTTTTATTATCACAACTATTTGTAAGTTTGGCCTAGACGAAGAAATATCGACAATCGCATTTGTCTCTTAACAGAGCCCGCCAGCGGTTCTTGCCAAGTGTAGATAGCTCCTCTTATACTTGGTCTTTCCTTTGTTTGAGGACGCGATCTTAATCTGAACGCTCACACCGAAGCGTACAGTTCGAAAACGTATTAACTTTTCTCTTGGCAAGTATGCTTCGGTCTTCCAGGCTGAGGTATTTGCAATCCTCAAGGATATGGACTACGTGGTGGAAAATAGGTGGAGGGGAAGGAGTTTACGTGTCGACCAAGCTGCACTTGAGGCACTACTTACTTTCAGACTCTGAGTGCCAGTTCAATCGGGAGTATCTCTCTCCTATCGTCCATAACTATAATATTTATCATATCATGAGTTTCGATTATCGTTATTGCGCATATCAAAGACAAATTTCCTTTTAGTTTTGTATATATTTTTTTTTTCTTTACAATAAATAAATGATTATTGAAGACTAGGTATGGCAGCACGAAATGTCACAATCTGCTTAATTGTCAGGTAGTTAATATGGCGCCCGAAAAGTGACAATGAAACTACCTTCTTTTTTGTATCATACAGTTCAATAATATAAAATTGTCATACAATTAATAAGCTTAATAAGAAGAATAAGTTCATCGTAACAGATGACTAACCTTCTCATTTATCTTTTTGTATACCAACCATGAAGCCGCACCCCCCCCTCGCTTTCTGACGTGACTCTAGTTATACGATAATTAAATTAAAACAACGCAGAGCTAACGCACTACCAATATTTTTCGTTTTTCTTTTCTTCCAGCTCTTTTTTAGAATCTCTTTTATTTACTTGTTCTTTTCATTACTCATTCATATATATTTAATACATTTTGTATAATTTCTATTTAATTTGTAGACTTTTACCTTTGTTTTAGTTTGGTGTTTTTTGATTTGCTTTGCTTTGTTTTTGATTTGTACTGATTTTTATTTTGTTTTGTTGTTTTTGTTGCAATTTTTGATTTTTTTTTGTAGCTGTTGACATTCATGGTTCATCGGTTTTATTGATTTGTTTCAAAGCATTTGCTTTAATTGATTACAAGTTGTTAAGCATTTGTAATTTTTTTTGTATTGTTGATGTTCGAGGTATTTGAAATTGAAATTGTTGTTTTGCATTTAATGTTTTTTATTTATTTATTTATTTTTTTTGTAAATTTTTGTATGTTGGAGTTCAGTATTGTGGTGACATGAAGTGTTTTGTAACTTAATTGCTAAAGAGTAGGAAACCTTTGTATCAATAACGGCATATCCTTGCGATGCACATATATGTATGTATTAACTTGTGTGTAATTACATACTTGATTTACATATATGTATGTATTCCCTTTATGTGTATTCGCATATACATGCATATTTCATATGTATAATAATAAATAATGATAAACAATTGAACATTCGATATTTTCATATAACAACATTAACAATTGAACGGAAAAACTTTTTCATAACGCAATTTTTTTAATAATAATTATTAATTGTTTTTTTTTTTTTGTTTTTGTTTTGTTTTCGCTTAAATGTAGGAGTGTATGCATAAGTTTTACGTCTTAATTTTATAGTTGTGCATATTGATTTTCTCTTGTTTGGTTCAATTACGAGCATTGCGTATAAAAGTTTAATTAATTTTCATAAACTCATAAAAATATATATATGTATATATGTATATATTGTTTATAGAATAAGTAGCTTGTTGGTAAGTGTCATATATTTATGTTTTTTTTTGATTCGCTATAAATCAGTAAGCATAATTTATTTGCGTCGCAGTTATTCACTGAATTGGCTACGATCTGCAAAGGATTGTTTGTGCTCATCCTCGATGGTCGGTTTTAATTAATTACATATATATGTATATATGTATTTCCAACAATAAGTTTAAAAATAAAAAAACAAAAAAACAATAATAATTTTAGTGTTTTATATGTAAAAATGTAATGTATTTTATTAATGTTTGACATTTGTGACTACAGTGTATTCAGACGGTCACAAGCCAGTGATCGAGTATTTTAAGCAGTTTGGTTTGGTTATTGTATAATAAAAATTGGACACAAAACTTTAAAATGTAGAGCATGTTTCTAATAAATAAACGTATATAAGTATATATGTATGTAAGTGCATGAAAAATTAACAATATTTTTAAGTATAACATAAAGCACTTTAACATTTAACGTTTGCTTTTCTTTTGTTGATTTAATTTTTAGTCTCTATGACATGAAACAATAAAACTACAACAATAAATATAAATATAAGTATAAGTATAAGAAATTACTTGCAGTGCAATCATTTCCAAAAAAAGACGCCAATTCGCAAGTAAAATAATAATATCAAAAAAACAAAAACCAAAAGTTGACAAGACATGATTTGCGTTACGCTGATGAATTGCCTGACGAGTTAGTGTGTGAGTGTTCCTTCAATCTTTAATTGCTATAGGCAGTAAACATAGGTATATAAGTAATTACAAAAAAAAAAACTGAAGCAATTGCATTACGTTGCGCCTAGTTGCCAATACACTCTTTACTCGCCAGTCATGACCTCCATGAATTCTATAAAGAGCGAAAATACAAACAACCAGTTACACTTACAAATCTTTCAGAAAGTAGTTCACCACCACTCACCATCAAAATCAACCGTTCCGGAGCCATCAGAATCGATTTCCTCAATCATCATGTCCAAATCGTCATTTGTCAACTTATCATCCAATTCACGCAGAATTTCACGCAGCACACCGGTGGTGATGTAACCGTTGCCCTCCTTATCGTACAAACGGAATGCCTCCTTCAGTTCGGCTTGCATCGCTTCAGCATCCTCTTCAACAAGGAAACGCGCCGCCAATGTGGTGAATTCTTCGAACTCAATTTGTCCCGAACCATCTTCATCGACTTCAGCGATAATTTCGGCAAGCATGGCATCGTCTAACTGATGGCCCAACATACTGAGAATGGTGCCCACCATGGTGGTGTTGATGTAGCCATTCTTCTCGGCATCGAATGCATTGAACGCGTTACGCAGCACTGTAAAAGGGATGGTGAGTTCAAAGCAATGAAATTTACATTATACAATGAGGTTTTAGAGGATGAAAAACTAAAAAAGGTATTTTCTTAAGGATATATCGATCCTTGCTCATAAAGACGTACGACACAGGTTAGATATTATTTTTTCTGGTACACTTTCCAATTTCACGCGATGAACATAGTTTAGGTTAGGAAACTGCATTTCAGGTGGCATTCTTCGTCAACTGAAACTCGTCTCACTCCGAAGTTGGTTCAGGTAGAAACAAATCGGTTATATTCTTAAAAAATCGATGAAAATAATTGCTTTTAAATAATGAGTGGCATTTTTTTTTTAAATCGTGGGATTAACTTGAAATTTGTTACTCGAGGGTTTTGGGGCCGCTAATTACGAATGCTAATGAATTTTCAAAATTCAAAATGGCGGATAAGTATTTTTATTCATACCCTCTGCAAAATTGGTCTAGGTAAAAAGATCGGTTATATTCTTGAAAATTCGGTAAAAATTTAAAATTGTTATTCACGGGTCGCTGATTACGAATATGATCATCAAATTTTAAAATTCAAAATTTCGGATCCAATTTTGAAAAATTTATAAACACATTCGAGACCCATAAAGGAATTTAATTTTTTGAATTTGGTACCTATATTTAGGAAATTGAGTATTTTTATACCGATATTCATACATAAGTACCCGATATTTTTACAGCGATACTTTAAATGAGTACCGTATCAATACTTTCGGTTTGATATCATATCACTAAAAGGCACGCAAGGGCACAGAGTGGTTCAGCCCCATATAGCTTTTGAGAAAATTAGATGGAGTTGGCGTATGTCCTAAATTTTTCGTATTTAACCTCGAAGGACATAAGTCAAGAAAAACCCGAAAACTGGGTGTGATCGATTTATTTTAAAACATACCTCCCATACAAGCTTAACCTCAAGAACGTCTTAAAGATGCCATTAAAAGGGCACCGATGAATTTAGTATTCCAAAATTCCGTCCATATGTTAACAGTAATAGAATAACTTAAGTGTGCAAAAAATATGCAAAATATATTTACTTTAACACTTACTTCCCGTACAAACTTAACCTCAAAAATGCTTAAAAATGTCATTAAAATCCCACCGTTGAATGCACGAGTCCGAAATTTTGTCCATATATTTATAATAATATTGCAAATGAACAGTCTTAAAATTGCCTTAATCGGTTAATGTTTACGCACACCATCCATACAAGCCTAACCTCAAAAAATTAATGAATGAATTTTTAGAAAATTATTATGTATGTATATTAAAAACAAAACGAAAAAGTAGTCTCCAAAAAAAATTTCAAAAATCAAGGTTTTTTTTAGCCATTTGCGCTTCATTAGACTAAAATTGTATGGGCTATAAAACTGCATGCCCAAAAAATTTCAAAAAATTCAGAATAAAAAGTTGAAATTCTGATGAAAATTTTTTTGATTTTTCCTAACATTTGTATAAAGTTTGAAACTGTGATTTACACGGTCTTGGTTAAAGCTTGGACGATATTTTTTATAAAGATAACAAAAAAATTTAGCTGGAAAAATATTACGAATATTAAAAAAAAAAACAATACGTGGTCATTTATTTGAGTCACTGTAGGTCTTAATTGAGAACCTCTTGAGGTCTATTAATTGCAATCTATTAAAGTCATGTTCTTCTAGGTACAGTGACACTATGAACTGCAGATCGAGCCTTGTAAGGGCATAAGAGTTATCATGTGATCTGCTATGTTATTTTCTTAATCACACAGATTTCACTGACCGAAGTGGACAACTTCCATGTATGCAAATACTCAAATAACCTGCAATGACCAGCAAGAGACCACAAGGAGTTTTCCAAATCGGACCAAAATTTTGGTCTCTCCGATATTTCAATAACTAAAGACCCCCGTTTACTCCAAGTTAATCTGCCAGTAAGAAAAATTATTATAAAAATTATTATAACCTTTGTAAAACTATATAAGACTATATAAGTGTATTTCGTTAATCGATTTATTGATTTCTGCCAGGCCTGGTTCAATTATTTCATTCAGTCTAACTGAGCATATTATAGAAAATGTTTAAAATCGGCGAAAAGCATCCCTGCTTATTATGCAAAAGCGAAAAAACGGTATTCGATTTAGCCCGAACTTGAATTTATTTGTATAAAATTGGATTTATTTTTTAGCAGACCTATACCCATTTTCAGCTTTCTGCGAAATGTTTTATGTATTTTGAAATATGTAATTCAGCAGGACTAGAATAAACTAGACTCGCTTTTAATGCTTTCAACCTGAGCCTGTAGCTATGTGCTCAGATTTGCACACGCTTGTGTTTTTCCTATTTTTATAGCGAGAACTGAAACTACATAGCGGGCTTATGAAAAAATTTGAAAGTTTACTTTTGATCGCTTTACACGAAAAATAGCCAAACACGCAATTTTAGCCAGCCAAGCAATCGAATTTGTAACAAGATAAATTCAAAAAAAAAAAAATATATACAATACATTTTCTAGCTGCAGCTGTATATGCAGTACATATGTATGTACATATGTAAATGTTTCCTGGTAACTTAATTGTACATACATACATATTATGAACTTGTACTGTATGTAAATATTTACCTTTGAGTATTTATTTGCTTCTCCTTTATAAAAAAAAAAAATCACTTTCGGTTTAGCTTTCATCATAAAATTTTCTAATCACTGCGTAGGCGTTTACTGACACATTTTATGGCTTGTGGCATGCACCATACGGTGTAAAGTGTGCAGCCACTTCATTATGCAACTTAAGCGGAAATATTAAGCGGTGCAATACACAGTCGCGTGTGTTGGCGATTCTGTCAGTCAATTTGAAAGTCTAAGCTACTTGTTTATTATTATCTCGGTTTAACAACATCGTTGCGCGGACACAATAAAACTGCTTGACAAATCAAACAGTGGGGCTGCATGCGGATTGTCTGTTGTTTCTATTGTTTGTATTGTTTTTTTTTTTTTTTGTAACTTGATTGTGACTCAGGTGTTTAGTATTTGGAATGGCATTAGTCGATTTGCTATAGAAACATATGTATAAATACATATGTATATATGCAGCACACTACTCTAAAAGTTTTGGACAGCTCTTCTAGCACAGTTTGTAAAATATGCCTTTCTATGGATAATATTTTTTGTGCAGCTACTGCTGCAAGAACGTCATATTCCAAAACAAAAAATTTGAATTAAGTGCTCACACACAGCCCTCCCATTTATTTTATGTTGTTTAAATTTTTGACCACTTTGCTCATTTGCACTATATTTGTCTTCTACAACAAGAAAACAAACAGTCTTTGATCAAAGCAAGGAGTTTAGTAGGTAAGGTTTGAGGACACCGTAGGAATACAGTGAAAAAAAATTGCTAAAGCCATTTTATCTGCTTTCGGTACGTGCATTTGTTTTTTGATACCTACTCAGTACTGGATTCAAAAGCATCGATCCCAAAATTACTTGGTATCGAACGAAAAGTATCGAGTATGTGCTTGTATTTACTCGTATTGTTTCTTCCCTAGATTTAGTCTTTTCATGCTAATTTTTATTCGAAGGAATTACTTACATTCGATTTGGTCTTTGGAGAGTTCATCCTGAAATAAAAGGAAAAAAATTGATATTAATACATGAAGGTACGTTCACTAAAAAAAATATGCATGCATATATATGTAATGCCGAGTCTCCACTAGGCATTGAAATGACGAAAAATTAGAAACATTTAAAAAATGCCATGCTGAAATGAGCTTAATGACTATTTTTTTAACGAAATGACACGAATATTTTTTATTGCCCAACTTTGTTATTAAAAATTTTGCCATTTAATGCCTAGTGGAGATCCAACATAAGTATATATTTATCAATAGAATAATCAAATATCAGTGGATTTTGTTATATGTAAACACACCATAAATACTCATATATTTATTACATATAATCTCTTAGGTTTGAATTAATTGAATTTCAAATTTCAAGCCAGAAATTATTAAAACTACTATCACTAAATTAAAACTAAATAGCCACGTAGTGATGGGCAAAAGATATGCTTCAACTGTTCTTGGCGTGTATTTAACCCAGCAGCCAGCATCGTTTCAGATCACAACCTTTTCGCAGCGTAAGGTCCACAAGCAAGCAACTTCGCATCGCCTGGCTGAAAACCAGCGCCATCTCCCAACCACACCCCACAGAAATATCTGGTATCTAATATCTATGACGATGCTCAAAAAATCGCAGCATACCAAGACACCTCAAATCCGACGGCGATGAGCGCAACCACTGAGCGATGCCGGGAGAAAATGAAAAGAGAAGCAGAAGAATCTGAGTGTGAATACTTTAAGATGTTGGCGGATAGGAATACGGCTCGATAAGTGTGGGATGGATGCCCCCGACCTGGGCTTTATAAGACTAAAATATCAGAACCGTAACTTGTTATTAAGTTTTTATAATTAAGTTTTGAAAGAAACCAATGCGCATGTTTGCCTGCAGCCGGATTGAAACCTTGAGTCAAACGGCTAGGCTGGTAAAAGTTCTGAAGAAGGACCAAACCACAAAGCTGCGGTCACTCAAGAAGCTTGATGACACTTTAACGGAGATTAGGATTGAGACACTCACTGTTCTTCTAGAGACTCACTTTCCTAGGAAACAGATGATGTTACGCCTTCCTCTCCCACGACTGGAGAGGGAGGGTATGCGAGAGCCACAGTGTCAAGGTACAACTGGTTTCTCGCCAGAACTGTGGCTAATGAAGATGCTCTAAGATATGCCATTGAGTCTTTGGGATGTCTCAAATCATCCAGTCCGGATGGCAACCTACCTATTGTTCTTAAAGAATGAGTTGAGCTTAAGTTAGCGACCTAAA